CCTAAACCCTAAACCCTAGAGCCTCCGAAGTGAGCTTTCCGAGGCCAGGCGGCCTTCGGCACCGAGCGGGAGGAGCTCCGCCAGGAGGTGGCGCAGTGGGAGCCCCCAGGTTTTTTTTGGTTTTGGGTTTAGGGTTTNNTTTAGGGTTTAGGGTTCATGTAGGGGCCTGGGGTTTGGGGGTTTAGGGTTTAGGGTTTGGGGGTGTTAATGTAGGGGCTTAAATAATTACCTATACTATGTAGGGGGTTAGGGTTCAGGGTTTAGGGTTTGGCGGGTTTAGGGTTTGGGGGGAGTTGGAATTGTCGCTCTGGTTTTGGGGATAAGGGCGCTGTAGGAATGAAGGATCTAAAAATGTAAACTTTTCTGGGATGTTCTGGGGCGTGTCGGATGTCTTTGAGCACAGCCCTGAACTGGTAATGGTCAGCTTAAACGGTTTTGGGCCTGTGGCTGAGGGCTTTAAGGGTTTAGTAAAGTTAAGGGGCCGGGGCTGAGGGAGCCGCAGTGCTAAGGACTCCTGAGTAGCAGAGCTATGACGTGGTGGCTTCCATGGTTTAAGTTTAAGCTTATGTTTGTGCGTCTTGCAGGCTCTTTTCTATCCCATGTACCCAACGTAAATCCTAAGCCCCGAGCGCGATGCGCAAGACCACACCGTGGTTTCCGAACAGAAAGCCCAGGACATCTAAATTTTCCCTGATCGAACATGGTTTCCCAGGCCCTTCGTACGCCCTGTTGTCGGTCCAAACCCCAAACCCTTCTTGAACCCCACACCGTAAACTCCGGATTCCCAAACGCCATAGCCCCTCATCCCTTAGGGAACCTTAAATCGTAGACCTCAGCCCTGAACCCTAAACTCTTAAGGAACCCTAAACTCCTCAACACTCCTCAACCCTACGCCCTAAACTGTCAAAGCCGGTCCTCACGCCCTGGGGCCAAGGCTTTCGGAGCGGCTTCGGGTTGCTGAGGCCTCCACCGGGTTAAGGGGGCATCGGGTTTGTTTCTGGTTTTAGGGTTCAGGGTTCAGGGGTTTAGGAGTTTAGGGGATTAGGGGTTTAGGGTTTAGGGGTTTAGGGTTTAGGATTGGGCTTCTCGTGTTTGGGGTTTGCCCACCGCGCAGTCGGCAATAAAGTTCTTTCGAACAAGATTGCGCAAGAAGAGCCCGAACCTGATCTCAAGAGCTCGTCAAAAAGTAATTCCACCTCATCAATTAACTACTTCCTACAACCTGCACCGTGAGCGCTAGACCCCTGCATACCCTCAACCAGCAATAAGTCCGGACTCGTATGAACCTCAAGCCCTCGAGAGGCTTCAGCGTTCAGAGTTGGTTGGAGTGTTTGATGGCTGTCTGATTTCTACCCCAGATGGCAGATAACTAGCGCTGAATAGTGGGGCTTGGGTGAGATATGGGGGTTTCCCGAAAATAGGGGACCCCTAATCTAGTACCTTAAATAGTAGGATCCCCATTATAAGGACCCCAAAATAAGGGGGGTACCTTATGTTCGGATTCGGAAACTCCCATATGATAGGATATGGTCGGGCGTTTCGGGTTTTGGAGTTCGGACCTAGGGGGCTGCAGGGGTGTAAGTTACGTTGCAGAGAGTTCTGAAGACGAAGCCCTGCCGCACAGGCTTAGGGTTTAGGAGTTTAGGGTTTAGGGTTTAGGGTTCGTGAATCTCACCGCAGTGCAGGGTTTGGGGTTTAGGATCTGCGCCTTGTAAACAGATGTCAATGCCGAACCAAAACAATCAGAAGCCAGGGCGGCACCGCCGGCTGGTTGGCCCTCCCCTCGCGAACCCAGGTTCCGCGTGCAGGGTTAAGAGTTCTGGCCAACATGAAGTTCGGAGAAAGGTCTGGGGCTTGAGATTCGGCAGGTTGGGGCCGCAGAGATGGATTTTTTAAACGTCTCCTGGACATATGTCCGGTGTTGATGGACGAGGAGCCAAGCCTTCATTTCGAGCCAGTAATGTCGGGGGCTAAATACATACCAATGCTATTTGTGGGGTTTCCTTATCATAATCATAGTATAATGAGCCCCAAAGCCCTATTCTAATTATTAAGGCCCCTAAACCCTAAACCCTATAGTAGCCCTTTAAGGAACCCTTTAAGGAACCCTACTCTAATTATTAAGCCCCCTATATTCGTGGCGGGATCATTTTCTCAACACTTGGGCTCTGGCACTCTGGGAATTCGGGCGGAGGTCGGGACAAGGAAGTTGAAGGCAACAGAATATGCTTTATTGTGTTATATTGTACTGGTATTATGTTACAGTATAGTATATTATAGTATATTGTGGTATATTATAGTATATTATAGTATATTATAGTATAGTATAGAATAGTATAGTATAGTATATTATAGTATAGTATAGTATATGCATGTATACAGCTGTGCATCAACATCGGATCGTAGGGTCCTTCGAAGAGCCAGCCTGGTTCGTACTGCTGTGCATTATGTGTTCTGCAGGTCCCATACCGTTGTTGTAGGGTTGAGGGTAGGGTTTAGAGGGTTATGCACTAAATCAAGGGCCAAGTGCTCCGATAGAAGCCAGCCTGACTGACCGGCAGCTTCAACGAGAAACTCTCAAAACAGAATTGGCGGCGATTCTCTTTATCCCAGCACACAGGCCAACGTAGTTCCATACATGTTCCTGCGAGCAAGGGCACTGATCACTGATGGTGTTCTTCATTCAGACGCTGTGCTTCTTCCCAAACCAGAGGGTCACTCCTGAATAAGGATCTACCACAGGGAAGTCCCTCATCGACAAACTCCCAGATCCCGTACGAGACCACTCCTCAAGGTAGCAAATGCTAGAGCTGTAGTGTTTTTCTGCGCCTTCCCTGCATCCGCTTAAGTCCGCCTTGTGTTTCTCCGCCCGAGATTACCTTTGTGCATTTCCTCCCTCCATATCAACCGTGCGCATAACACTGAGGTTGCGCGTCCGGGAAGGTCTTGGGTGTTTGGGGATACCTGGAGATGAACAGTTTCATGAAATAGATTAGCCTAGTAGAGATAAACTAGGTCCTACCTAGGTAGCAAGATCCTGATTATGAGAAGGACCCGCCTAATTCAAAAAAACCCATAGCTCATGTGTGCGAAATCGCTCAGAGGAAGGTTTTAGTGTTTTTGTCCGGTTGACCTCCACCAGTGCCTTGAAGCCAACACCCCAAAATGTGGCTCAACTCAAGATGTATGAATCTATAGGGTGTCGCTTTTTCATGTATACTGTATAGGAAATTGGAGGGATTCCTTGGGCCCCAAATGCCTCAATCTTTTTACACTCACTCCCATCACCTCGGAGATGTCGGTGAAAAAAGTTTGGAAACCCGAGGGCTCAAACTGTCCCAAACCCTACAAACCCCACGCCCAGAATCCTGTGACTTGTAATTAAGCTATGATTCTCATCACCCAAGACTGGTTCTGATTACCTGCAACTTAACGTCTCAGGGGCTGATCAGATACGCTGCAACCTCCACCGAACACTCCGCAGACTTGGGCACAGGCCCCTGCGCGCGCGCCCACGAGCAATGTCTCACGGCTGACGTCCAAACAGCCATGTCCCAAGCCTTCCCAAAGACTAAACAGTAGCTTAGTCTCGGGCTCGGGGAGTCGTAGTCGATTGTGTGGGTCTTTCGAAGAGCATGTGCAGGGCCTCCGGATGAGTTTTTTCATAGAGACTTCACAGGTCTACTGCAGGGTTTGAGAAAAAGGCTGAACCTCATAAGTCCGGGTGGCATCCCAGGACATGACCAAACCTGTTCTTGTCATTATGTTTTCTAGAGCTTTACAAGAATATAATATTATATTAGTATTATATTGTTGTTATAATGATATTATGATACTATTATTTGAATAAATATTAATGATAAAATGAGCGCAGCGTGCCCCGAGAGCTTTCCCAGCAACGGCCCTGACCCTGAATCACTTGAGCCCGGGGAGCTTCAGGGGATTAACGCCGTATCTGCCCAAAGGGCCATGCAGCAAAAGAAGCGTGCGTTCTCAGTTTCAATGGTTCGACCCTGTCATCCATGGAGGGCTTGGTAATGGGTTTACGGTTAGGAGAGGCTGTGTAATGTAGGGGCCTAAATAATTACCAACACTATTTTGGGGGCTCCTTAGCATAATTGTAGAAGAATCAGCCCCAAAACCCTATTCTAATTATTAAGGCCCCCACATCAAGTTTAGTTTTCGGTTCGCGGACCATGAGAAGTTCCCATGGCTTCCAGGGCTTTGTAGTTGCTGCTGGGGTCGAGGTCCGCGGTGTCTGAGCGGTGGATGGACGACGACACAGTGGAGGCACTTCAGTACTTCGCCCTTTTAAAGAAAGGGGAATAAGTTAGTACGACTCAGCATTGGTAGGTTTTGTTCATCCGGTCTTCTGACATGACTTCGCCCCGAAACTTGCATTGAAGCCATCACCCTCCACGCTCAGCATATAACCCTTGATCTGGCTGTTGGCTTATAATGTAATCATGAACTCCCGATGCTGGACACTTGCCGTGGAATCGTCGCCAGTGGCCAGGGGTCGTAGCATTGGGTCCTCTCAGGTGTCTAGCTGAGGCCTTACAGATGCCTCAGGGGGGCTTAGCTTTCCTTCCAAGAGAGAACAGGGGGATGAGCCCCAGACAGGATGGTGGAGAGTTCAGCGTCTTTGTGTTGTTGGGATTTCAGGTTTTCGGATGGGTATGCGAAGCCACCAAGAGCCGAAACCCCGACGAAAAACGGTCACGGCCCAAAGCCATAGTCTCTGACTTCAGCGCACAGCTGCCACGAGAATTTTCGAGTTGCATTTCTTCGCAGACCGGGCAACCACGAAAGACGTGACGCTCATGATGCTGGCTTTGAGATGCGGCTGATGCCGGTCGGCTTATCCTCATGATGCTGGAGTTCAGGCCGTGAAATCGCTGTGAGTGGCAGAAAGAGGCGGGCTGATGCTCATGATGCTGGCACTCAGGCCGTGGAATCGCTGTGAGTGGCCGCAAGAGTGCTGGAATCGCCGTGAGTGGCCACAGGAGGGTCGGCTGATGCTCACGATGCTGGCGTTCAGAATCGCTGTGAGTGGCCGCAAGAGGCGCGGCTGATGCTCAGGATGCTGGAACTCAGGCCGTGGAATCGCCATGAGTGGCCACAAGAGGGGTGGCTGATGCTCATGATCATGGCGCTCAGGCAGTGGAATCGCCGTGACTGGCCGCAAGAGGGGTGGCTGATACTCATGATGCTGGCGCTCAGGCCATGGAATTGCCGTGAATGGCCAGTGAATGGCCGCAAGAGGGGTGGCTGATACTCATGATGCTGGCGCTCAGGCCGTGGAATCGCGCCGTGAGTGGCCGCAAGAGGGGCGGCTGATGCTCACGATGCTTGCGCTCGGGCCGTGGCGTCGCCGTCAGTGTCCGCAGGAGGGTTGGCGTGGAATCGCCGTGAATGGCCAC